TAAAGGATTTGGTTAGTCCAGTATAAAAAAAATTTAAAAAAAAAAAAAAAAAAAACATATTTTCCTTCGATCGCCTAAGGCAAATTGTAGTCAGTTCTTAATTTTACGTCCGAGTTGCGGGGCCATAGTTCTAGAAATGCGCAATGCAGAGAAGTTTTACGATTTTCGAATCGAGAGGAAGAATTAATGTTTATAGTTCTTATAATTCTGATTCATATATTTTTATTCTTACATATCCCCCCCCCCAAAAAGAAAAAGGCGTAGCGACAGAGAAGCCTTTTTAAAGAGAAAGAGTTAAACACTAGCAAATGTAAAAAAAAAAAAATAAATAAATCATAAAATTTTGTCCTGTAAAGTATATTTATAAAGATCAATTTTTTTAAATAAATTTTAGAGTCTATTAAATTTTTCAGCATTTCAGTCAAAAGTTTTGTGCTTGAAAGTACATAATCATAATTCTTCAGGTATATATATGTAGATAAAATGTATGATCAATTATATATAACTATAAACATTAATTCTTCCTCTCTATTCTAAAATCGTAATAACTTATCTGCATTGCGTCATTCAAATTAATCATGCGATCTTACGTAACCGTTAATACCAGATGCCTCTTGACGACCAATCACCGAATTGTAAACCAAAACTTTTCTCTTCGCGTGCTTCCATCTTGCATAACTACGCACTTCAGCTTTTGCTCTCTACTCTGCTAAGATGTAATTTCGCTGGCTTGCTTTCCTTCTCAACAATATCAAAAATGTAAATCTTCTGTGGAAAGGCACGACTAGAGTGCCAAGTGATTGTGGCCACAAATATCAATTGGAAATAAAAATGGAATTAAAACTGCCTCGACTGCCAAGTTCTTTAAATACTACGCAATCAAAATTCTTCTTTCAATATGGGTCTAATCACGCACATCTACAGTGCTTCCGGCTTTTTTCCTTGTGCTTTTATTATGACAATTAAGTCGACAGGATAGTTTCCTGCAGCCTGAAACCTCAATGGAAAATTTAGTTCTGCTCTTCAAATCATCGTTTTGTGAGAAATCCAAGATAATGTGAAAGAAGGGAATCATCAAGTTTATTTTTTCAGTGTTTAAAAAATAAAAGATCATTCTTCTGCTGTGGTGTTTTGCAAGTGCTTCAAAAAAATAATCACGCGTAGTGTTTACAGATTGAAAGTAATCTCTCGATAAATTGAGAAGTTCGAATGCCTAGTGAAAAGGAATATTTAATTTGCTTCCCCGATCTCTACAATATTTAGAAAAAAAAAAGTGCTTTAAATCATCAGTGAATTACCGTTTAGGAATTCAGCATTACAGTAGGTTCAGTGGGTTCATTACAGTGATTGTGGCCACAATCACTTTGCACTCTAGTCGTGCCTTTCCACAAAAGATTTACATTTTTGATATTGTTGAGAAGGAAAGCAAGCCAGCGAAATTACATCTTAGCAGAGTAGAGGGCAAAAGCTGAAGTGCGTAGTTATGAAAGATGGAAGCACGCGAAGAGAAAAGTTTTGGTTTACAATTCGGTGATTGGTTGTCAAGAGGCATCTGGTATTAACGGTTACGTAAGATCGCATGATTAATTTGAATGACGCAATGCAGATAAGTTATTACGATTTTAGAATAGAGAGGAAGAATTAATGTTTATAGTTATATTATAATTCTGATTCATACATTTTTATCTTATAATACTTATAATACTCGGTATAATGTCCTCTGATAATACTGTTAAGTTTTGTTAATTAATTATTTTTTTGTCCTTTGTTCTCTAGAAATCATTTTGATTTAAAATTTTAAAATTCTAGCTAAAAAATAGAACAAATTACCACCAAACAGGGAGTTTTTTCGAGCCACCGCGCCCATTTTCTTACTTTATATAACACTTTTAATGATTATTGTAAAAAAAATAAATCATTTTAGGCCTAAAACTATGATGCATATAACTATGAAAGCTGAACGTGAATGTGTTGAGTTAACTATTCAATAATTAAGCTAATCTACGAATTATTGAAGCCCATAGTTTTAAACTGCATGATACAATTTGCACTTCATGTTAAAATACGTTTTATTTTCTCTATCCGAAGACCCAAAGAAAACATCTTTCTGCTATTTTTATGAAAGATATCGTTGAAACATATTCCTCTCTGTGAATTTCCATATTATGTGTTCATATTTTCGTGAACACATAGATTTTAGGAGACTATCTTATACAAAATATAAGTAGGTTTATATATGTAAAAGAATAATTTTAACTGAAATCATAGAGAATTTTCTCAGAAGAATATAAAATACAAACTATAAAAAAAAGGGCCATAATACCACTTATCTTTATGCAGCTCTGCCAATTACGGCAACTTAAAATGACCAACATAAAGACGCCCGGCAATGTCTCGCAAATTCATCTCTTTGCGTTGTAATTTGGTGTGACCCCAACTTGTCAGCAACTGTGGTAGTGACTGCTATGAACTGTAAATTTACACAAACACGTAAGAAGAGTTTAAAGCCCTTTTTATTCCACTTTAAAAATAACAGCTGCGTCCACTTGACGCTCACAAACTACGCCGACCCGGCGGTTTAACAGAAACAGAATGTACAACTGAAAAAATAATGGCTGGATGAATAAATAGCTAGATCACTACCTACGAGGCTCTGAGATCTTAACTAACCTAACAGCGTTCTAAAATACAGCTGAGATTCAGCGAGCTTACTAATTAAGTAGTTGAAAGATTCAGCAAACTGCCGACATAGGCACACAGGCCGAAACGCGCGGTTCTTAAATTTCTACCTAGCAACCTTCACGTTCGCGATTCAAGAAGCACACTTACAATCTCGTTTCCCTTCTATTTAAACTCAATTTACTTCTGCTAAATTTGAATATACTGCGCGCTCTACTACAATTTACATACTCTAACATTGGCAATTCTAGGGGAAAGTAAAGGCTTGACAGGAAAGATAGCTTAAAATAAATGTTAGTTAAAATAAATATAAACCCTACAGCATAATGGCCGCGTCTTTGTGCTAGAGAAGAGATTTTGCATATAAATGTCGTGGTTTTATTACTTCTTTTGTTTAATAAATTAATCAGAATAGCAAATTAATAGCCTAATTGCTTAATGATGCCATCATATTTATAACGTTTGCTGGTATCAAGCTAAGAACCGGTCTTTTTAAATATGCTTTTTAAATATGCATGGTATGGAGACACCGGGCATTTGCATGCTTTGAGCTACCTTCATTAAGATGCCAGCACCGTTAAAAGACGGTACAAGTTGAAGCATGGTCTTAAAAAAAATATGGCTTGTCATATAAGCACAGACAATTTTCTGAAAGTCAGTTTTCATTTGAGGGGGGAAAAAAGCGACTTTTGTAAAGATTCAGACACTGTTACGCATGTGAAATTTTAATTTGGGCTTTGATCAATATATTAAGCATGGCAACTTTATGCGGTTGCTTTGGTTTATGTGATTGCGGCAAAGCCTCGAGGGTTATCTGCCTAAGGGGATAGATGCATTCCTGGAGGTCTTGCTAAGGAAAACTGGCTCGTGTACACATTACAGACGGAGAAAACCCCTAAAGCACCCATGCTATCAGCCCAAGCTATGACCGAATTACTAGTGTTCAGCGAATTTACTACTCGGCCGTTGTTGGGCTGCGTTTTTATGCGAAGTCCCATCGTTATGACAACCCTTTTCCATAGTAGCACCTGCCCATTTTTGTCCCAGCTGCTTCGAATTAATCTAAATTAGAGTATTTCCCTTCTATTTTGAATCTTTTAATGCTATGTCCAGGAAGTGAAAGCATTCGTGCAACACTACAGTCAGTGCACATTTTCGGATTTAGTGTCTTATAATGAAAATCTCCAGAAACTGTGAATTTATTGTGTGTTTTGATTTTGTTTTGTAGGAGCATTATATGCGAGATTTAGAAGAAAGAGAAAATCAGTCGATGGGCCAAGAGAAAGAAAGCGACCAAAAACTTATGCTTATTTATGTCCTAAAAATGAGTAAATAAATTCTATGGGAATCAAAGCGCAAGTACACAGTGCGTTGCCAGTGAGACATTTTCACCGTTTAAAGAACGGTTCAAATTATCATTCCGCTGGTCTTGACTGTATGCCAGACGTGAACAGTAATCACTCGCTTTGAGAACCGAACTTTTTAAATTGTAATAATTAAAATCAGAATAACTTCTAAACAGAATAATTACTGATTTTTGAGAATTCTGTGCGTTCCTGAATTTAATGTCAAAGTTACAAAATTTTTATTTACTTTCTGAATGGAAGCAAAAGAAGAAATACAAGTAAAAGCAAAATTACTTTTTTTATACATTAATTAAACATGCTTCTTATGATCAAAGAAGATGCTGCATAAATCGAAATATCTGCTTATAATTATACATAAAAGTATTGTTCTAAAAATAATTTAATTTATTTAATTTGCAGTTTTATGTCATTAGTTTTATATTAATACCACTTTTACTGTGTATAGGACGAATACTTTTAATAAAAATGTCGTGTATTTTAATACCAATACTAATTTTTCCCAGCTTTTTCATCGAAGGGTCGGACCCGCAGAGTAAGTCCTCCACTCGTTAATATCTTGCATAGGTTAAGATTTGTTTACTCATAGTCCAGGATTAATTAAACGAGGTATGCAGGCGGTGCATTTAACTTTTTACGGCGGAAATAATGCTGGCAATAATCGACGCCTTCCATAATAACAAGTGCTGCCATCTGTCAAACATCATTGTAACTTTTTAGAAAGACGTATTGCAGCAATGAAAACATAATTAACAAAACAGTGCATGATTAGAAATCTTACAATGTTTAATAATTTCAATTTACGATTTTTCTAAATTGCGCAAATTTGTTTATTAAAAATTTCCAAGGGAACAAATCGACCAAAACCTTAGAAAGTTTTCCGCGCAAAAGGCAGATGTGGAATTTAAAACGTCGAAGATCATAGTTTTATAAAATCTTAACTGAAAAGTAGCTTACTTCATCAGATATGATTCATCTTCCTCATCGACGTCTAAGATGAGCCAGTCATCTGAAACTTCTAATCCATCTTCCTCTGATTCTAGAATTATCTCAGGCTGTCCGCCGTAAACGTCATATAAAATACTGTCAGTTTCTTCCAATATCACATCCCTAGTTCTGTTATGAAGCGAAGTTGGAATCCCTAGTTCATTATTCTGTTAAAAAATATTTATATTGAGAAAATTGCTGTCCTTTTAAAGTTTCTTTAATTAAGAAGAGTATAATATTATGTTTGCCCATTATGGCTAGATTTTGGTTTACAAAGTTGTAAAATGTAGTCATCAATTTAATAAATAAAGAAAGTGAAACATTAACATCTTCTGGAGATTAAACCTTGCGCATAAAATTATACGTCTATTTAGTAGAAGTATTTCATATTTAAAGTGCCTTGAAAATTCCATAAACACGTATTTCTACAAGTTATTTTTAAATCACTAAAATAAATCAATTTAATTTATTAAATGTTCAATTAAATTATTTTTCACAAATGAAAAAAATAAAGCGTTGTTGAAACTGTAACAAACATCTCAACTGAAAAAATGAAAATAAAAATCATCTTTCCCTCTTAAGTTAAGAAAAGACTTCAACACGAAAAGAAAGTAATGGGAAACAAATGGAAATAAAATTACATTTTGGTCCAAATTTCTGAAATTATTAACTATAGTGAATCATAAGATCAGTTACTAACGACGCAAACCTAATTAAGTCTTATAAATTATTGTTTGAAAAAAATTCCTCATTGCAATTTCTTATCAAAAGAAGCAATTCACAGTTTATCTAAAAATTATTTAATTATGCTAAATGGTGTTTGGCCCAATCCACTGCAGAAAGGAACCTACGATGATATTGTCAGTCATCCCAGTTCTCTTCGAATACCGTCTATTTAAAAACGCTTTGCGTTTATCTGAGCTTGCTACTAAATAAGAGCTGTGGATAAAAAGTATTACTCTTATAATTATTATCATTTAAAATATCATGTATGCCAGAGTTTAAAATGCGCCAGAGCCTGGCCCTGGTACTTCTTAGTTTCGGGGATAATTTATAATTCTTGCCAGAGCGTAACGGAGCCCTAAATAAAAAGGGCTCTAGCACTTCTTTTATGTAACTTAACAACAATTTCAGTAGAAATCTGATATTGAAAATTTTATTTTTAGTTATAAAGTTATATTAAAAATCTCTTATGAAAATTGAATTTATCTGAATAGAAGGAGTAATAGTGTAAAATCTCATGTCAGACTGTAACAAAAATACAATGTCGTCTTTTTATAATCTTTTATTGTGTCCAAAATTGCAAAAGTAGTTTTTCCTTTCCTCATTTCGGACTTTGGGAAAAATACATAACAAATTTTGAGCAGAAAAGCTCTTGGGAAGAAAAAAAGGGTAAGATAGGAAAAGAACTAGCCTGAGAGAAAGAATCAAATTTGAAAGTAATTAGGCCCAATGTAAGTTCTGGAATCTTCATAATCATATTTGTTTAGGGAAGTTTTTTCAAAATATAAAAAATTTCAATACATACATTAATTATTGTACATAGCCATAATGAAATTCAAAATTTTATAACATAACTAATTTTCATTCCATTTAACATCATTTGGAGTAGTTTTCTTGAAATTATGCTATTTATTATTATCAAGACATATCTAATTTACTTATTTTGCAAAAACTGAAAGACGCCCCTCCCCGCAGCTTTCTCTAAATACCTACATTTCCATCTTATGGGCAAATTCACATTAACAACTAATGTATTAATTCATCAATGGTTAATGGTCCCCTTTGAAAATTAGTTAAACCTTAAAATAAAAATAACCTTAGTCCTCTGCTCTTTGTTTAAAGGCAACTAGCCTTTATGAACTGCACTAAAATGTTCCATTATATATTTAAAAAATATTAAAGCTCATTCCATTATGTATAACAAATGAATGAATAAAAATAGCAATTATGTATGAAAAAGTTACGTATTTTTTGGTTAAGTGGGATCCTTCAAAATTTATCTTAACATATTCTTTATTAACATACAATTATCCATAAATTTTAATGTTACTTAACATAATTCCAAAATTTTGTTTACATTTTATGCATCTTAATTTTTAGACATCTTAATTTATAAATTTTAGTTTTACTCATAATTGAAACATCATAGCTATTCAGTTTCTTATATTGATAATATTTTTATTCATTAAGACTAGTCATTATTTAAGATTTACTATTTGCTACTTAAAACAAAAAATTTATATCCGTTTTCTGTACCAATTTTTCAGAATTGCCTCATTCATTTCTTTTACCTTTAGCTCATTCTTAAAATAATTATTAAATTCTTACAATTCAAATTTTTATACAATAATCTCCTTCTTAAAACAATTCCAAAATTCTTTAAAAAATTATAAATTTTTATACAATAATTCAAATATGTAATTATAAATAGATTAATTTTTAATAGCTTTCCCAAAGTAAAATAATTTAAATATCTTAAAATTATTTACTAAATTTTTAGGGGTAATTACTAAAACTGAATTCTGATACCATAAAATTTTAGTAATTTTTCAAAAACAGTGCAACATTTTTAAAATTCTATAGAATAAGATACAGCATTACGTATCTAAATTTCAAAGTAATATACGTATATCATTAACTCGCATAAATACACACACATACACAGATATATATATCTGTATATACTATAACAAAATATATAACGTATATATAACGATATGTATATATAACGATATATATATAACGAAACTTTATATTTATATATATATATATATATCAAAATTTCTATATCTTAAAGAAAGCTGGCATTAACTACTTTTTAAAAATTTCTCATCTAAAGTGATTATAATAATTATTACTTAAACCTTAATCGGAGGTAATAGTTGGATGACTACGATAAGAAATTTAATGTAAATATGTACAAAGATCTTGTATTTCTTGCCTTTTAATTATTGTTACTATTTTTATATACTATCTTTCTACTATTTTGTAAATTTAATAACTGGCAAATCTAGCTGTTAATAAAAAAACGGGGTTTCTAGTTTCTAAGGCGTATTGTACCCTGATTACGTGAAGACTTTTATCTTTTATAACATACACTTTTTTCCTTTTCCGCAACTTTGAGCCAGTTCTGTTTTGCGCTCTAAGATTTTACAGAGAGCAGCTTCTTTTAGAAGTTTCTTAAGCCGCCAATTTAGGTTGACTATCACCCGCTCCTCGTCGGCAATAATTTTTACATACCGCACCTAACCATTGACACCCCCGCACACAACAAAGTATAACAGGGTAGAACATTTTCAACACATGTTAAAATACGTAGTTCTGCTATTGGACACTTTGAGCCTTATGGCATATTTTTTCAAAGAACTACAAAATTTCGGTTTCTTCAGAGTAGTTTGAATTCTACTTTCTTTAGCAAGAATACAGTTTGGTCATCTTTAGAATTCAGTTAGATTACGCATAGAAGATCGTGTTAAGATTTCAGTAAGTTTGCGTTTTAAATTTTTTTTCAATTATTGTTTGAAATAGGTTTTGAGTTTTTACCTGTTTAAGGCTCAGATATGAATTTTTAATTATAGAAATCTGTATGTACAGTTTTTCGTTTTCTTGATATTAAAAGTTTAGATTAGCATTATCGGGAACCTTCCAATTTTTTAGTTTTGTTTAATTGACTATTATTTTTACTCTTTATTTATACTTTTGCTTTTGAATTTCGGATTAGCATATATTGGTTTTAGACCATTTTTTTTTTTTTTTTTTTTTAATTTCAGTGTACACGATGTAAAGTTTTATGTTTTTTTAATTGTCATTTTGGCACAATGTTATGTTTTATTCTTTTTTCCAAGTGTTTCGAAAATGTGTACGGAAAATTCTGGTATATTTGAGTTTCGAGTTTTCGATTTTATATAAATTTTAACGTTTTTAATAAAAATTTGATGAAATCTTTTTACGGTTTTTGATCTCAAATGAACCAGGAGAACAAAACATATTTTCGAAACATATTAATGGACTTTTATGAAGCTTTAATTCATTTTACTCTGAATTGGAGTTTTAGTGAAAGGCGATTAATTTTTATTTGTATAATTTTGTACATTTTCCCTTTTGCATTTTTATTCTTCGAGTTTGTTCTACTAATGAATTCTTATTTTAATTGTGATATGTTTAGATATTGCGTTAAGCCTCTTATACACGGTTGCAATTATCAATATTGTTGAGGAATTGCCTTTCTTTGATTTCAATTTAATGTTAAATTTAGATGCTTTAAGTTTATTCTACTTCAATCCTGCAGCTATAGCGTAGGATGGATTTGAAAATTTTATAATTCTAATTTTTAGCCTATTTTTATATTTCGTTATATATATGCGTATATATATATATTACATATCAAACTGCATTTTTCTACTCAATATGTAATTTTTAACTTTTCATATTCTACCTATCTTTATTTAACTATGATGTATTATTCTTTTTTAAAAACTTCCTTAAGAATGCAGAACCATTCGTTAAATCGAGAAAAAGGTTTGCCAGAAAGAATTAAAACAAGTATTAATGCCCAGGTTTCACTCGCTTTATGAAAGTGCAGCGTTCTTAAGAAAACGTTTGAACTTAAAATTGTATAAAGAAACATTTATCATTGATTTATATGGAAATACTTTTATCTTTCCTAGTTCTTCACAAAAACCCTATCAAGTCGCATTAAATAACGTGCGAAACCTAAAATAAGCATAAAAAATTTCAATTCGAAAACTCCAGACTTTCCCTCAAAGAAATGTTTATTATTAAAAATTTCCAATATTTAAAATACATTAAAGATAATAAAAAATGTCAATGTCTTAAAAAATAAAAATATTTCTGTACCAGTTGCATAAAAAATGCTGTTAGAAATATAATTTATTAATTACAGCAAAGCTGCTAATGCTCATAATTTAGAAGTTGAATGCATTATAGTTCAAATGCAAATTAAGTTATACCAATGAGACACATTAATAAATAAGTAAGCAAAATATTTAAATTATTAAGAAGTTCACTTGTTAGTCATATAAATTACCCAGTTTCTTAGTCAAAATGGATTTTATGAAGTTTGAAGGTAAATTAAAGACTTAACACTTTTCCGAAAGTAATTGAAATTAAAAATTTAAGACTTTCCGAAACATAGCAGCATTATGAAAATCGGTTGCGGGCGTGAAAGGTTTTAGTTTCACGCAGTGATGACACTTATCAGAACTTTGGAATGGTAAATATAGTTTCTAGATTTTATATAGTTTCTAGATTCCTCCGTCCTTTGTCCATCATTTTAATTCATGATTTCGTTTAGAGATTTTACTTTGCCAAGACGGAGTTCTGGTCGTTAACTGAAGACAGTGTACCCCGTTTCGAGGTGTAACAAATTTGATATGGTAAACTGACAAAAAGTAACTTATATCTAGTATAATTTTATCTTTTCAAATTGATGAAAGCTAGTGCAGTGTAGGAAAAAAATTCTTGATTATATTCATTAGGTTATCCAGTTTCCACTTCCCTGTTCGCTTGTTTCTGTTCCGACAGTCGAGGCTTGCCGTTTGCTCTGTGTATTGTGACAGGTTTGTTGAAGTTGTGAAATATAACTTGTGAGGCTGACAAATAATTTCTGTACAGATATCATTTTCCGTAACCAGAACAACCTACTTAAACAAGATGTCTCTTTCACAGTTTTTTTAAATCGCATTTTTGATGACTGTGTAAGGGAAAAAAACGCAAAATTATAATTTTGTTTTTCGCCTTTTAATATATAGACGAATAAGTACTTCGAATTTCTTTCCAAAGTTACAAAAGGTAATAATATAGGAGTTTCTCAAAGGCTTAAACGTATTTATGTTAACCTTATAAAGTATTTCTCGCGCTTTCGTAGCGTACCTTCGTGGTGTAGTGGTTCTGCACGCTGGGCCGGTATTCCAGAGGTCCGTGGTTCGATTCCAGACGAAGGCATTGTTAATTTTTCATCTTTCCTGCTTCCAGATTTCCTAATGTCTCTACAGTGGCGCTCGAACTAAAAGAGTGTTGGATGAGGATTCTCCGCACACAGGATTTGGTGATTGGGTCCCCTAAAACCCCGTCGCCCTTTAAAAGGGGAGTAAAAGGTATTTTTCCCTTTCCTAGCGTGCCTTCGTAGTGTAGTGGTTCTGCACGCTGGGCCGGTATTATGAAGGTGCGTGGTTCGATTCCCGGCGAAAGCTTTTGCTCATTTTTCATCATGCCTGCTTTAGAAAAAAAAAAAAAAAAAAAAAAACTTATGTCTCTACAACCTGAAGACGTATTTCTATAAAGCTGAAGCCTGTACCTTGTAGTACAGTAAAACCATTATCTGCAGAATTTTAGAAAGAGGAGGTATCAACCAAATTTTAAAACTGTTGCTATACTGCATATAGTTCTAATAAGACTTCGTATTTTTTTTGTTTTTTTTCGTTTTAAAAAGTTGTTGGATACTAGAAATTATTTATGAAGAATTAGCATTTTAGTGTTAAAGCTTTCTTCTAATTTCCTTTCAAAATTTCAACTATCCAAATTTAAATTAATCCAAAATTTCAGCTTCCCAAACTGCTTATTCCAGCATTTTGAAAAATGCATTTGTAATTGTCTACAGATTTATTTTCCTTCAGTTAAAGAGTTTTTCTGGTTATGAGTTTGACTGGGTCTCTTCTCTTAACATGGCAGCACTAATATTGCTTGTCAATAAAGGTTGTTAAAAGCTCATAATATTCAAAGAAGGAATTTTTTGTTATGGTAGACATATAGGGCTTTCTCACTCCGCGAGACTGAACCGCATAATGAGTTGCTTCGCCCCTTAGAACCAGGCACAGAGGTTCTATCTCCGCCCTCGCACCTTTGAGAGAAAGACGCATCGCTTAAAGCGACACTGGTCGTCAATTTGCTACCTGCCAGTCGCTCGGACATTGATGGGCCTCCACCATAAATGCGACATGGTCATCAATTCATACCTACCCCTGCCCGTACCTGTCGTGGGCTGGCCCCAAGGAAGAGAACCACCCGGGTAACCACGGGCCCCAGTGGTTCAGGCCCCCCGTGCGAGACTGGTTTTTGACAGATCCTAGCCAGTAGCTTCGCAGAGTTCTCTACATCGACCCCCGGGGAGAGTTGTTATGGTAAAAGTTTTGAGAGAATTTTAGTAGTGAAACACATGTAAAAGAAAAAGCAAAAAATAAGTTTGAAAAATTAATGAAAGCTACCTCATGCAAAGTTTCTTGTTGGTTCAAGCCTCCGTGATCGGAAACATCCATTTCAGTTTCCACGTCGTGATATATATTATTGGAGGATATTGTGACACTTTTACCTTAAAAATAACAAAGAACGGATCATGAAATTAAACTATTAAATAAAATCTCAAATACATTCATTATTTTATGAATTTTATTTATGAATACTTAGAAAAAATATGGAATATCGAAATCATTACAGATATGTCAACAAGAAAGGCAAAAATGTGTCCCTGAACGGTCTGTCTTACATTTGCCTATTACTGTCTACGATTGAAAATATTCATAAAAATATTTCCTCCCCACTATAATACATATATTTCAATTGCTATTTGAGTGGAGCTGATTTTTAAAGTAATTCGTTTCATCAGAAAAGTAATGAACGGTTCTTCAGTTTGTATTGTAATTAGATAACTTTTAAGTTATCGACGTCAACCGCAGACTGAATGCTTAAAGACGCGCTGATAGATGGCATTGGATTTTATTGCCGGCTGCTGAATAAACTGGCTGTTTGAGGACTTAGTCATTTCTAAATCGGTAACGTATGACTAAGTTTACTATTAAAGAGCTATTGCTAAAATGTTCCCCACAAGAACATCTTTTCCATAAATAAGTAGCTCTAATGAGCTTTCGAGTAATCACAGAAGACCAATGTAATTTTAAATTCTTATGTCGAGGAGGCAGGAGGAAAAAAAATTAAGATAAAGTTATTTGACAATTAGTTGCAGAAAGGCACTTTACAAGTGAGATTTATGTGTAAATAAAAAATGTACGTAGGAAGTCCCCCTTCGTTTTTTATAATGTTTGAGCACTTGGTTAACAGACAGCTAGCTTGGATTGGATTATTCAATTATGGCAAAGCATACGAGGGCTATCTGCCTGAAGGGAAGAATGCCTTCGTGGAGGACTTTCTGAGGGAACCGGCTCGTATACCCGTTACACATGGGGAAAAACACGAAAACGCCTAAGCACCCAGCCCGTGGGTGGAATTCGAACTTCGGACTGAACTACCAGTGTTCAGCATCTTTACCGCTCGGCCGCTGGTGGACCCAACAGACAGCTAGAAAGTTTCGGTATCTTGAAATAGCTTTTAATTAGAGTAGGAATACATCAGTTATCAGTCGCTTAGAAATATTTTCATTGATCAGTCATATACTTCAATTGTTATAACAAACATTTACTGTTTAAAAAATTAAAAAGTTTAAAAGAAAAAAAAAATTGTGAATGTACACAATTAGCTCCTTCTTTGTTTTAAAACTAGATACTACTGGAATACCAAATAAGAAAAATTAAATAATAAAAAAAATTAAAGCAATATTCCAGTTATGATTAAACGGAAGCGAAAAGCTGAAGATAAAATAATATTCATTACAAAAACCACTCTTGAACGAAGCTCAGATCGCATAAATTTACGAGTGTTAGAGAAAAAATTTAATCAAGATGTTGGGGTTTTAATTTTTGAATTTAATAATTAAAAATACTTTGCTTCTTTGCGTACCACCGGTTGAGAACTTCTGCATTAGATTATTTCCTCTAAAATTTCAAATTATGATATGGTAAAACATTCCTGTTGGTGACTGAGATATTCCGTTAAGATCAACATTTGGGATTCCAGAAAGTGGATTAATAGTATATCATTTTCTAGTAATGCAAATGTAAAGTAATCATGCAAATGTAAAGTCTAGAAAAATAAAAAAATAAAATAAAGTAAAATAAAGTCTAGAAAAATAAAGTCTAAAATCAAAAAGACTGAAACTAATTTATAGATTTGGTACAAAGTGATTATTTATAATAGAGGGATCATTATGATATTTATAAGCATTAGAAATATCAAAGTTTACTTTACGTTACAAATTTAAAAAAAAATTTATATGAGGACCTCTTATCATGCGACTTATACACAGAGTAATCGAATTTTTGTTATTTTATATAAAGTAACAGAAAGTCAATGTCGATGGTTTCTGTTCCTCCTTTCTACTCTGTCGTAAATCTTTGCAAATCTTGACGGAAGCGTGACACATATACAGAAATATTAACATATTCCCATATAAAAAAGTACACTATATAATATCAGATAATCTTTGTGGCCAATAGGAAAATGTCAAGTTGTTCATTGTCATTGGTTGCAACACAGTTCAATCGAGCGCTGAGGCAGATGTTTGTTTTAGGTAGTTTCATGATAAACTTTGACATCTTCCAAACCACGGTAACTTATTCCCTTTTCTAGCATAAATAATTATTTCAGTTAGATAAGCAAACTATGCTTTTTTTCTAAATTTCCAAATACGACACTTTAAAGTTTCGATTCATTTTCTGCGTCAGTTAAAACGAAAAACAAAAAGCAGAAAACTCAGTCCAGTTAAATATTAATGAAAACGTGTATTACTCGTATAAGACTTTTCATATTCAAGTACTCGGACTCGTGCAGTCTTTAGCAAGTTACCTGGATTCTATACTTGGTTGACACTTGAAATGTTCAAGTTCTATCTTTTCCATATGCCAAATCTGACAAAAACTGGGGTTTTCCAAATGGCTAGAACAGAAGAGCTATGAAGCCTGTCAATGTATTGCTGCATATAACCACATAAAAATTTTATTAATTTTGTATTTTAAGTTAACGTTTCATCAGTATTAAAGTATTAGTTAAAATAAAATAGCGTAACTTCTTGGATCTGATGAGTAATATAAGTAATACAAATAAACATCCTGTAATACCTTTGAAAATTAATTTTACATCGTTAAAATTTTTGCTAACTTACAATCTTGGCTTTTTAGTATTCATATTAAGTATTCATTATAATGAAAATCAAAGTAATTCCGTTAGGACTATACACGATATGGAGAATCAAAGTTAATTCCGTTGGGATTGTACACGAAATAGCGATTGAAAAATTAAAACAGTATAGAAAGTCTAAAAGGTTCTCATCCTCCCCCTTCAGGAAAAAATATTTAATAATTAAAACAAGAATTTAATTTTTTGTTAGATCAATAATAAAGAAATATATAATTAAATAAGTTAATGAAAGTCAACCCCAATGACAACGCAAGATAATTTTCTCTCGCACAAATTTTTCACTGTAGATTGCTTGATGTATCACGAAGTATACATGTTTTTAATAATAGTTTTTAGATAAATTAAAAAACATAATTTCTTATATACATTATTAATAGGTTAATATAAATTTGTTTTGAAAGTATATACAATTTTAATTAAAATTTTAATTCATTCTTATACCAAAATAAAAATTACAAATCTAGAAAAATATGATTAACATGCAGAATACTACTTTGCTGTCAAATTAGCTACGAAGTTAGCATTTGACCTACAGGAAAAATTGGTTGTTTAGAATTTTTTAAAGTCATTTAATTCATAAAGTTGCCACACTTTAATTTTACAGGTTATTTATTGAGTTAAATTTCGGATCTTCATGATGTTGTCATCTTTCACCTCCAGATGAATTCACTACTTGAAATAAATCATGGAAAATAAAACATTGCTTGTAATATTAATAATAATTTTAGAAGAATCAACGTTTAATTTTTCTGCTTGGAATTAATTCACACATTTCAAAATGATAATAAAACTGATAAAATCATAGTCGATTAAAAATAATTAGAATTTCTCTTTGAAAAAAAATCAAATTGATTTTACTTTAACTTTTGTTTCCAAAACAAAAAGTCCAAAGTGACATTTTGTTTTAAGCTTATAGGATTGGAAAATATTATTATTATAACTTATTATGGCATGCCAATGTGTTTCACTTATCAATTAAATATTCAGTTATTGAACATTTTCTAAATGATGCTAAAATACCACAAGTCTCCTTACCTTCCAGAGTTCCCGCGTTTGAAGTTACAAAAAGCACAATTAAAAAGAATGCGATGAACAATCCCATTTTAGTTGTCCAAATTACATAACTTGTGTAGATCTTTCAGAGTGACTTATCCCGTTTCTTTGTTCTAAATGAGAGTACGCTCGCGGAAGGAACTTCTATTATCAAAACCTCTAGAGCGGAAGTCCTCAGTCTTTTCACCTCCCACTTCTGTCGATTACGTCCGAATACATCTGTTTCAAAACTTTTGTCTCGAGCGCCGTCATAAAATGAAATGTTTCAAGATAATTAACAATAAATTGAGTTAATTTGACTCAAGCTTGAAATTAGAAGTGTATAACTTTGGAGTGCGAAAAGAAAAAATAATAAAATTTCTTCACTTTATTATTGACATTATGATGCATTATAACGTTATGATTATTAATCACTGTGCTGAAATGACAGTAATTTAGAATTCAATTCAATACTTGCGAATATATAATTCTGAAGTGACTAATTGTTTGTCTTCGCGTTTATCTCTTAAAATGGATTTTTTTTTATTTTTAGGATATGAAAATATTTAGCAGGGAACAAAGATAAGAAATATGTAAATATCTTATGAATTGTTTATTAACTTAGAAAGATTTTATTGTATATCCAACAGCTCAAATTTATTATCTTATTCATTCGCCATTCTATTCCACTCGCATGCTTTTAAATCATAAAAAATTATTAGATAAATTTAAAAATGGATTAAGAGCATGCAAATGTATACTGATTGTCATATTACGTTTTTTCCGAGAAGAAAAGTTTAGCTACTCTGATTCTGAGGCTGACAGCTTAGGCAGCAATACAATTTCCAAATTGGTTTAAAGACTTGGGCTATATAAGTTTCTTTTATAATTACTTTTTTTAATTAGCACTGCACTTGCACTTAGTTAGCTATATAGATATAATTTTTTATCAGTTTATTGTGTTTGCCTCTGAAGCATAGCTATGCGAAATAATAGGTGAACTCATCCATTTAGATATCGTATTACTGACTATTGATTGAAAAATTGATTTACACAGCAACCTTACAAAACCTACTTTTACTTACAACCAAATTCCATTAGTTTACACTGTACCAACACTGTTCTTTCTTTCTCGGCGAATTTGAGTGTAATCATTTCAAATGCTTTTCTATAAGCACTTTTCCTTATTAGTCAGGATGTTTTTCCCTGTTGATAAAACAGAAGCCGTTCAAGTGCATTTCTGTCGTTTTGTATTAATTATTTCAACGTAGAAACAAGTATTTTGGCAGTAGTAGTTGATGAAAAGGTACACTAGTTCAGAATTGATAAGGACGGATCACAAATGGCTAAATAGCGCGTAGAAAAGTAAGTGTGATTAGGATGCCAAATGATATAAATAATACCCGAATACTTGGGCATAACAACAAAGATTATATATTGTGTTCTGGGACCCAGAAGACTGTCAAAATTGCTGAAAGTACAAAATAGTCATTTTGGGCTGAATACGTAAAAGTGAAAAAAATGAAACAACCGTCCGCAGGCATTCTGGCGTAAGATGTCAATACGAGATTATGTAACCATGTAGGGCGATGCAAGATTCTACACTGAACGTTGTGTCATCCTTTACAAGTCATTATTTAGCAGCTGTTGGGTTTAATTTATCCCATTAACTCTGCTAGTGCACGAATGAGAGTGTTCTTCTTTATTGTAGGGCATTGCCGACCAGCAAGACTCGTCCCCAAAGCGTCCCAGTAATTTTCAATAGGATTCAGATCTTGAGAACGTGCTGGCCATACGAGGAATTGAATATCCTTGCTCTCTAGACACTCCTGGACAGCGACTCTTCGATAACATGTTGTGCTGCCGTTCATAAAAACAAATCTGTCTCTGATAGCACCACGAAACATGCGAATATGAGCATCAAAATATCATTAATGCATCGTTTGCTAGTAATAGTCCCACAGCACACAGGGTGACATACGGCAGTTGATCATGATCCCAGCCCATACTATACGTAACATACACTATATGTAAGATATCGGTGCATTTCCTTAATGTTTGCCGGGCTACATGCAATACCTCTCTCACGCCACATCAGTTGTCGTCCACAGTCAAATGAGAGACTGAACGTACTTTCATTTGAGAACAGGTGACAGGTGACGGAGGACGGGGACACCTGATGTCTAAGAAGGTATATGTCTCACGCCCTCCACTATCTTGAACCGGCAGCTTCCGAGTCCCAGGAGGCCTGCCTCAAGAATGCATTTGCTTCTCTGTGAAGTCGCTTGAACAAACTGGGACCTGCATGATATTACATGAATGTGTTAGCTGCATGAATATATAAGCATTAGCTGCTAGAATCTGTTGGTGATGCTCTTGGGCGCATGTTGCCATAATTCTT